AATCGTTGAGTTGCTATCGAATACCGACCACCGAAAACCCCATTTTTCGTCGAATACATTTGAATTTATAATGAGCAGATAACAAAAATAATACTACATGTAAATAACGAAATAAAATGAAAATAATTGAAATTATAAACATACTATAACCGACAGCGACTGGGACATTGTCACATTGACAACTCCAAATAAAAATTCACATTTAAATGGAAATGGAAAGACAATTGGTCACATGATCTAAAGTGGAAACTTCGAATAATATTGCAAAATTCCACGCATTTCGATACTAATTTGACGTATAGTCTTTCTCTGTGGTTTCCCAGTATATGAGAAGTGCTGGAACATATTAGTATGGACTTCAGTAATAGTTAAGTTAAGTATGTGGTTATACATAAATATGTGACAACCCAGAGTACTGAATGGATTAACCAGGCAAATAGAAATATTTTAATTAAAATAAATATTTACCACCTTTCAATATCCTTTGTTGTCCTGTGAAAATTGCATGAATGACACAATTTTCTAGTGATGTTTGCTTGGCATAGATTCGTATGCAAATTATTTTGATAAATATTTGTTGTTAATTAACACTTGGTTTTATAAACATAACATATGATTATGTGATTAACTTATTATCAGCATAGAGTCTGAGTACTTAAGGTTATTTCACTAATAACATTAACTAGCTTATCCTTTACTAATATCTACAATATATTACTCCAGGTGTTGTGCCTGGTGGATGTGCACAATGATTAATCGTTGAGATGTATATATTTAAACGGTTGTTGTTAAGATGATAAAAAAATACAGGTAAGAATTCCTTTAAAACGTATGTAATAGATTATTTGCAAAACTGCTAACTTAATTAATACATATTGTTTGGATAATTAGACAAATATAAAAAACCTTCACTCTAGGTCCGTACAATCTAATTTGATCTGAAACTGTAACAGTCTTATATTTGAGCTAGAATGGATAAAATTTGATTTACCTACAGTGTCGTAGCCAGGATTCTCTCTGGGACCATAAAATTTAATTTGATCTAAAATTGCAAAAGAATTGTGCCAAAAGGTACGGTAATTTTTTTGCAGTTCACTAAATTAATTAAAATAAAATTATATATACACGCATTTCCTTATAAATAATTATATGTATAAGAAGTATACTTATTAATGTTATTTTCTAGATTTTCATATAAATGCACTCTTTGTTCAAAAACTAACAGTTAATCTGTTTATAACTTTTTTCAATCATTCTGAAGATATTTATTAAAACTTCTAGTTAATATTAGTAATAAAATAAAAAAACATTTATCAGAATTGCAAGTTTCAATAAATTGTTATTACGACCAATCTTCAATACATTGTTTTATTAATACTGGATACAATGTATTAACAATACAATTAATAAAGGACACAATGGTAATTCTACAGCTTACAAGTCTATGGAACAGGTGGCCTAGCATCAAATCTTGTCAGACTGCAGCAGAGAATTCAAACTGTTTGGAAAAGTATGGGCCGATTTCTAAAAAATTGAATCAATTTAAATAGTTCTTAATCTAAATAAATTTCATATATTAACTGGACATATTTCAATTAAATATTATTCCAGGCTTGTTTCATTGTGAGATCGAATGCAATCAAATATGCATTTATCTTATCTGTTCATTTTCTGCAATTGTAAAGAAACGATTACAGTATTTTTGTATAGCTTTAATTGAACTGAGTAAGGTCTAGGAACTTAAACTAGGAAATACTAAAATGTTTTAAAAATGTCTTTAATTATCCGTGTTAGTTAGATGTGTTACTCTATGAATAGCACAATGGGACATTTATGTTGTTATGATATACGACTGATCTTTCTAATACACAATCTTAATAGCACAATCGTAAAAAAAAACAAACAAATGCTAATCGGCTGAAATTTTTTTCTCTTTTAATTTTTGCAATTCAATAACAAAAAAAAGTCTTGATTTGAATCTTGTTAGTATAATACTAACAAACGATTTTCTTCACACTAATTAAAATTAGATTGCTTGTATAAATATAAATGATACTTAATTGCAACTGTCTTTAGTGTTGCTCGGCTAAATCCAATCGTTATTTGTTCTCAAATCGGTTATTTAGCTCAGTTATCTGGATAACCTTAAACACTTACCCGTTCACGAAACCTTTGAGTATTAAGTCATGAGAAATAGTAAATTCATTGGTTTCGTCTAATATGTAATATGTTTAATATAATAAAGATCTAAATAAACAATATATAAGCCGGTTAAGCAGGTAAATATACGTCTCTGAAGCAGTCAAGCTGTAGGAATGTAATAAGTAGTAAGTGGTTAAGTCAGCAGTTAAAGAGTTGCGGTCGTGACTACATTGTCTCTATCTATTTATCGTTAATTGTTAATCTTAATAAATATTTGATTAAAGTCATTTAAATTATTAATATTGATTTGTGCTTATCATACATATATATACATATACATATATATAAGTCGGTTGTGCAGTTAAGTATACGTCATTGAAACAGTCAAGCAGTAGGAGTGTAGCAAGTAGCAACGGTTAAGTCAGCAGTCAGTCAGCAGTCGGCAGTCAAGTAGTTGCATTCGTGTTTCTTTAATAATTTGTTTTCTTTTATTTTTAGAATTGTTAATGCGATCAATTATATAAATAAATTGTTCATATTTACCGGGTTTAGTTTGTTTATTTAATATATAAAAATAATAAAAAAAATTATACTTATTTTCTATTAATAAGATAAAAAAAATTGCTTTTTACTAATTAAAAATGTTAGTTCTTTTTTACATATATGTTTTATATAAACATATATTTATATATATTACTTATTAATATAGATTGGTTTTGTGTCTTTATACACGATTGCATGGTTCCAATTGGACAGGCTTCAGTTCTTGCCACTTGCAGTTCAAAAATTGTTTATAATCAATTAAACCAATAAAATTTGTCAAATACCATTAATGATAAAAACTTGGTAGTATCCGAAAAACCTGTGTAGTTAATCCAAGAATTCACTTGATCTTAGATTAGAGAACTATTTGGATTTTTTGACACTATAACCCACTTATTTTTAAATATTAACTAGTATTGTAAAATAATATATTATATCCATGCTTAAAAATAATCTTAATAATTGGTATTGCAGTAAATTAATATTGTGAAAATTATTTTTATTGCTCTAAAATTATTAATAACCTCAGTTATAAGTCTTAGCGTCTAAAGTATCTTCTTGGTGCTTTAAATAGCGATCTCATAATGTATTCTATAAGTGTTTTATTCGACAGATAAGTCCTATTGAGAACCACAAGAAAGATTTGAAATACCTACTAAGTTTGTTTAAAAATTAAAGATTTTTCGTATTATAAAACAGATAACTTTCAGAGTTTTTTTTTTATAAAAATGTCAATATTTTTTATTTATTTTATATCTATTTAAGGTTAAAAGAAACTTAAAAAAGCACTTTTAAACTCACACAAAGTTTTTCTGTTTAAAGTTGGAATATTTGAAAAAAGAAAATATATTTCCTTCTCCCACTTCTATTAAAACTGTACTGTGCCCAGAGGAAACTTTTTATGATTCTGATTTGTTCAAATTAGCGTGAAATAAAATTTTTATCTGGAAAAATTGTTGAATTAGTAACAGGAATTGCAAAATTATTAGAAATAAAAAGAAAAAAACAAATTTAATGTGAAAATTAAAATATTTATGATATATATGTTAATTTTATATTTCAGAAATAATGTTTTACTTTTAAGAATTTTAATGAATGACTGCTTCTTGGCAGTCACTTTTGTAAATATGAATTCCATAATTTATAAGTCATATTTTTAATGAAAAACGAGGCATAACAACTTTGTTCATCTTTACAAAATCTGTATCTTATTTCTTTCTATGGAATTTTCTATCTGTCATGTGCCACATTCTTACCAGACAGACACCTGTTAAATCTGCACTTTTGTTTGTTTGATCTCGGGGCGTATGAGTGACAATATTAAATGCTCAATAGTTTTTCAAGACAATAAGATTTTTATAGTAAGATTAAAGAATTAATTCTTGCTTATAAGTCACTTTGCAGGAGCGCACAGTGTGTAGTTATCTATTGGAATTTATTGCATTAAACTTATTAACGTTATTAAATATTAAATGAACTAAATTTTATGAACTATAAACAGAACGAGTGTAAGAAACTCCTTTCAATTTCACGCTTTCCAGGAAAATACTAAATATAAACTATACAATTAATCTGCTTATAATAATTGCACTAGTGGGAGTAGCGTATAGCAAAAAGAATTCAATTAATTTCCAAACCACCTTTGTTTACAATGTCATCAAATACTCATAAAAAAAATTAAATTATTTAATAACTGAATTGTTTGAACATTTCTGCCTTGCGCAATATTAATGGAATTTTTGCAATTTGGCACGTCTACGTACTTCACGGAATGCCAACGCAATTCAGTATGAAGCGAGAATGTTTCAAGATAAGTTGCAAATTTGTATCGCCAAATTCGTGTATTTCTACGCGATTGCTTTTGGCTTATTACCTGAAAATTTCGATAAAAATCACAAGTTCTCAAACATCATTAGCAAGTTTTACATCAGCTACAGCTTCATTTGCCATTGCGGCTGCATTGCCACTTTGCCACTGGCGGCGTATATCAACCATGAAGGCCAGTTGACACTCGACATCATCAAATGGGCCAATATCGTTACGAATATTTTTAAAATATTTGCCATAGTTGTGCTTGTCAAGGAAACATGGTGCAAGCGTGCACAATTCATTGAAACATTTGAAAAATTTCAGATACTCGCAACTCTTCTCACAACACTCCAACAGAACACCATTCTGAGTAACAACTACGCCGCGACAAAAATGAAAAGTGTCACATGACATATAAACAACTTCGTGATTTTTAAATTCATCACATCTGCTGCCATAACATTGCTGACTATTATAATTTTCGTACAGACTAACCCAGAAATAGATGGCACCGATCCTATGGTTTTCCTAAACTACGCTCTTTTGACCATAATGTACACAGCCATGGGTTTGTACTTCTATGCCTTCTGTCAACTCTACAAAATATTTGCATATATCAACATTGCACTACGCAGCTTGGGCAAGCAATTCGGTCAACTGTTGAGCATTCGGCATCAACAGGTTCTTGGCCAAATACCGCTGGAGGATGTAACGCGGCATTTGGGTGTTCTAAACGGAATGCATTTTAATTGCTTTTGTTTAACGCAACGCATTTTCCACCTGTGCGAATTGTCTTTCGCTGCAATTTTCCTGAGGCTCTTCACCACAAATGTGCGCGTTATTTATCAGGTGGTGTGGTTCTTAAATCACGACATCGCCGCTGATACGTGGATTTTAGTAAATACCTTCACAGTGGTTTTTTTATACTCCTGGGATATGTTCCTGTTGATGCGAGTCATTGATGACTTGCTCAGTGCTTCTCGCACCACCGCTCACATTCTACGCCAGTTCACCCACAATGAATTGCAACTGCAAGCGAATCGGAATTGCATTCAAACGGTGAGTAAAGTGTTATTCTACTTGATAAGTGCTAAGTTTTGAATTAATTGCAGTTAACTATTTTTGCTGATTATCTCAGATGCCATAAACTGAGTTTTTTGATTTGCGGATTTTTCCACTTCAACAAGGAAGCGAGTTTGAAATATTTCTTTACTGTGATTGTACAAGTCATTGTTTTAGTGCAGTTCGATATGCAGCGGAGTTTACACAACGCAGAGCAATAATGAATTTCAATGTATTATATCGGAAATGAATGTTATTGAAAAAAAATAAAATGTTTAAAATATAATATATGACAGAAAGAGAATTACAAATTACAAAATGTGTATTATAGAAATAAAGATATAAACTTTGGTACATATACAAAAAATAACATTTCGAGATTTTCTGAATTTTTAAAAGTTATTGGGACTCATTTACTGTAGAAATACTATATACTCTGAAGATATTCTGAATTTTTAAAAGTTATTGGGACTCATGTACTGTAGGTATACTATATACCCATACTGTAGATAGACAGATATGAATATATACACAACAAAAATTTAGGTTGAAATTTGAAATGAAGTAACGGGACCATAATATTAGTTTAGACAAAATCTGACATTTTATATACTATGGAAAGATGGATAAATACATTCAAACTTCCTAACTTAAATTTTCTATAACTGGAACTAAATAGAGTGCAACTGGGATTAAAGAGCAAATTGCATACAATTACAAAAAAATTCTTTAACTCAAAGTCTCCATAAGTCGAACCTTTTTTTGCAAAGTGATACTCGAGTTATGGAAGTTTGACTGTAGATAGATGTATAAGAAGAACTTAGGCTTTAATGTGGAATACAGTACTCTGGTCATCAGATATTTTGTAATCAGATATTCAGATATTTTGTAACAGAAGCTTTCATGCAATGCAACCTATTTAGTCTAGCATAGAACTAGTTAGTCAAAAGGAATGCGACTCTTTCAATTAATGATCTTTGACACCTGTAGATTACGTAAAAAACAAAGTCAAACATTCACCAATTTTGTTAGTCTATGCTCAATGATTGCCATAGAAAGGGTCGAAGCCTTTTTTTTTATTATTATTTTATCTATTAATTATTAGGTTTATCAAAAATGTTAATATGGTATTGTAAGCACTCTCAAGATGCAACACAATGGACCTCATTGGTTTTGGCATCGCATTGTCTCTTATAATATGTAATAAGGTTAGTCTCCATATTATTAAATAAGTCACTTGTTGGTAAATTTAAAGTGATCATAAATAAAGTTTAAGTACCATAACTTAATATCTGTATTTCAACAAATACTGCACTTTGAGCTTTGTATCATTCTTTTTAATTCAGAATGGCGGTATCCTATTCAGTTATGCATAATTTGACAAACCACAAGGTAGTTAGAGCTGTTACTCAAACGTGTTTCCTTGGTCTGTACTCTATTTTAATTTCTTCTTTTACTTTATATAACTGTGTATTAGTAACTCACTGTAATACTTTAATAGTAGTCCCAACACGTTTTGGAAAGCCCTGTTCTTGTATCTCTCCATTTGAGTTTACAATAGTTCCCTACAGTTCAATACCATAAACCCAGATCGCTTTCAGTAACGTTTTATAAATAATTATTTTATTTTTAACTGAAAATTTTAACTGCCGTATTATTAGTCTATACAAACTACTTAGATTAATGCCCATCGTGAACCTTTTGTCAGGTTCCAAACTAGACTATCTAGCTTTTGCTCTTGAAGTGCCAAAACAATGTTTGATTAACTGAAGGAGAGCAGTTATAAAACGATATTGATAAGACGGTATTGATTTGGCTTCATTGATTCTTATTTTTCAGTTCTTGAGCTATCCTGACATTTTATCTAAACTAGCTAGTAACGTACTTAATACCAATTGTAACAGTTTCTGCGGTATCATCTGCAAAAGTACCAATAACAGGATCTGACGTAGTTAGTATGTATAATATATATAATATTGGGCTCAAAACACTATCTGATGGTAAACTTAGCATCTCATCTGATTAGATGGGTTAGAAAATAAAATAGTTTGTTGTTGCAATTCACTGCTGTTCGGAACCTTTCTTTTAAATACAACAATTTCTATTAAGTAAAATAGTTACTGCCATTTATTTATTATTATTTATAATATTAAATTAAATTTGATTTTAACGTCAATATGAGAGTAGAGACTATTTTTGCTTTAACTGAAACTGTGGTTTTAATACAGAGGTTTTGAACAGTAGTGAAGTACAACAACAAAAATTATTTTAATTAATTTAAGTTTTAGCTGACCATACAGCTGTTTCGAGTATTGCCAAATATTTAAATAATTCTTGTATTTAATTATTGTTAAATAATTTTTTTTTGTTTAACTCCTGCCCTGCCAAATTGGAAGCTCAAAGTCAGGGTTTATTAGCCAACTGATCCAAAGTCGTACTTGGTTTTTATGTATACAAATTTTTTTGAAGTTGTTTCTAATTTGCTGTGAAAGTTTTATTAATAATTTCATTTGCTATGTTTATATTAAAACGAAACCATATAAATATAATTGTTGTTGTTCACAACTGTTCGTAACTTTTCTATAAAAAATTATAGTTAATTAAAAGATTAAGAATGAAACTGCTGCCATTAATCAGAATGAATCGGCAAACTTGAGAATAAATTTTAATTTTTAAAAATTCACACTCTTCTAAACTTTAATATTATTTGTTATTTTTTATTAAATCTCATTTTTGAACTCAACTATGGTGAAAGGTTATTATTTTAGTAAAAGAAGAGTTTTGGGTGATAATATTTCTTATGCGTATTTTCTAGGTTTAACCCAATTCCGTTAAGTATGGGTAGATTGTTCAAAAATATTTCAATAAAGTACTTAACATAAAAAAGTACTTTGATTGATTTTTTTTTTAATAAAGTATTCTGACTATTTAAATATTTTGACATGTTGGTATAATTGAGAAGAAATCCGTTAGTTTAGTCATTCGAACTTCTATATAGTCAAACTTTCATAACTTGAACTTCTCAAATTTTCTATAAATCGAACTTAATAGGGTACAATTGGGTTTAGAGAGCAAATTACATAGATTCACAAAAAAATGCTTTAACTTGAAGTCTCCATAACTCGAACCTTTTCTTTGCAAAATGGTGCTTCGAGTTATGGAAGTTTGACTGTATGTATATTCAGCATTTATTTTTTATAAACTCTTTTTAGTATTTTAGTATTTATATTAGTTAAAATTAAACAGGAAATTGTATAAAGAAAACATTATGTTGGCTTAATTATGAACATTAAAAGTAATAAAATCACTCACAATGTATAGAAAAATGTTTTATTCTTGTAATTAAAACATAATGTCTATGGTGATAAAATGACAATAGCTCTCCATTACCCCCGAAAAATGACACATTTTTAACCGAAATGTGCTGCTAAGTCAAACAATGTGGCATATACCATAATTTTGGTTACTAACTTCATTATAATTGGACACAGGGACAAAGGAATTCTTTTGTTGGTGTCCTTTTGTCATGTTTCAGATAGGCAGCAATTTTAATTTGTTTATGAGTGTGTTTATGTGTTCCGGTGGCATGGTTGCTATCAACATACAACAGCAATGGTTCAATTCTTCTATTAATGCTAACAACCCAGCGCATAGCAATCAGCCAACTCCCACTACGACAAAGTAAACCATACAAACGCTATCATATGTACGTACGTACCCACATTTACAACAGTTGCTAATAATAACCCCCCACCTCTGCAATGCAAGCACAAGACTTTATAAGGTTTCAAATTTATTTACAAGTTATTTCTGGTCTTCAATTCATTACCCGCTTGACTAGAGTTCTTATTATTTTGTGTCGCCTCCCACTGCCGCTGCTTTCTGGGTGCCACCCAATGTTGCAATACAGCACGGAGGATAGAATAGCATGAGGCAGTATAATTAACACAGGACAATAAATGTTATTATCTTGTAGCATATCTAATTAATAATAACATTAATTAGTGCAGTAAAAGGATCAGTGGTCAGAGCGAGGAGCTGTCATAAATTCAATTCAGTCATTGCATTGTGCGGCGCCATTTACGTCTGTTTGAACTAAATTCGGAACTGTATTGATAAGGAATTGTACTGATAAGGCATTAGGTGAACGAATCCGATTTGCATTATAACACTTGCAATACGAGTGTTTGGAGTGATGAATGCAAGCATCTTTGAAGTGTATGGTTTGTATATAATTAAAATAATTGTAGAGTTTAAGTGGCACCTGTAAGCTAATAATAATTGAGAAATTCTAGGAATTTAAAGCATACTCTATATACAGCAGTTTTAAAGTTCATTAATGCAGTATAAAATTATTATATATTTGTAAAAAATTTTATTTAAGGAATTAGTTAAATAATATTTTTGTAGGAGAAAAGGAAAATTATTAATTTCATACTATTTATTTAATAAAATTTTATTAAAAGAAATAGTTAAATAAAATTTCCTGTAGTATAAATAAAAATTAAAAAATTTATTGTAATTTATAGTAATACTTGTTATTTGCTTAATGGTAAGATTTTTATGTACAACAAATAAATGTTATAGGAGTTTTAGGCTTCTCGTAGTTATTGGCGATTATTACAAGCTAAACTTAATAATATTCAAGCTTTACCAAAAAAAATATCCCTACATTTTTTTACAGTAGTGAACTACAACAACAAAGATTCTTTTTATATTATTTTAATTAATTGAATTTTTGGCTGACCATACAGCTATATCGAGTATTGCCAAATACCTATCATCAGTGGTCTTGGAAATATTTCTTGTATTTAATTATTCGTAAATAATTTTTTGAGACAGCAAGTACCAGAAAACGAACTCGTGCCCTGCTAAATTTGGTTCTCATAGTCAGCGCACCTTACTGACCCAAAGCCGTACTTAATTTTTATGTTCGCACATTTTTGTGGAGTTTTATTATTTTGCTGTGAAAGTTTTATTAACAAATTCACTTGCTGTATATTATTAGATTATATTAGAACGAAATCATAAACAGCTGTAGAATAATTGAATTAATTAATCATATTTTAATTTTTAATTGTTAAATTTCAATATAATTCTGTTTGTAGAGGTATTATTTGTTGTATGATTTGTTCTTTCTTATGTATAGAACCTAATCTAGGAACGTAATGCTGAGAAAGTCATGCTGATGTTACTCCACAAGTGGCACGGGCGAGACCAATATTTTGTGAATGAAATTTGACGTCAAATTTTTCAGACGGAAGCGACTATTATATTTAATGGAAACTAGAA